AAAACAGCCTAACAAAAGCCTGCTCTTTTTAGCCAAAGGATCAGGAAAGAGAAAGCCCAGCAACACAAAAAACTTAAGACAATAATTACTTTACTATGGGCAAACACTAAAGAAAAAACTGTGGCTCCACCCACAACAACAAAAAACTATACTTTCACATGCAAAGGCATCCCATCCCCTCAATCAACCCTCTATAATTAATTAGTGTCAGAAAAGGCCAAGTAGAGAGCCAGGACTTTCATCCCAACCAAGTAGTAATAAACTACCACCACCATCACAATGTACTGTGCAGTATAGGGGTAGAAAGACTACATAGGAAGCAGTAACAAGGCACTCCTGTTCCTCCAAGTCAGGGAAGCTTCCATAGAGGCCCAGTGAAGAGCCAGAATTTCCACCATAGTTCAGCAATTATGGGAAGCATCCCCTCTGGTGTCAACAGATTAAAAATAGTCACAACAAAGAAATAAAAGATATACAGAAGAAACAAATGGAAATTTTAGAACTGAAAAATAGAATAATCAAAATGAAAGAGATCATACTATGCATTCTTGCTCTTTATACTCAATACATAATAAAAATCAAAGTCTATCTGTATGTACATGTATAGCATTTTTTAGTAGCTACAGTACTCCATTGTATGAATTATCACTAACTGTCCTACAATTAATGGACACTTCGATTGTATATAATGCTTTACTACTGTAAACCATGCATATACACATAATTATGTAGGGGAGGGGTTGGTTTTGTTTTTTGTGTATTTTGCACGACTGGGGTCAAACCCATAGCCCTGCATATACTAGGCAAATGGTCTAGCACTGAGCTACATCCACAGTCCTGTCATTTTTAATGATATCAGTAAAAAGTAACAGTCATATGAGGGGCTGGGGTTGTAGCATGTGTGAAGCTTTGGATTTGATCCTTAGCATCCCATAAAAATAAATAATAAAATAAAGGTATAAATAATAAAATAAAGTGCAGAGAAACTGGACTAATTGGGCTGCGCAAAATAACCACACAAGAGGCACAAATACCTTTTTCTTTGGGGTTGCTGTGACGGCTCCTCTGACCTTAAAGGCTCCCCTTTTATTGGGGAGAAGCTATTCAAATGAGGCAAGGGGTCAGGTTTCAGGGGGCTAAGTCTATCTTCATGATGTCCACTGTCACCAGGTTGACTGACATATGGGTAGGCCACACCCAAAGGCACAGTAAGAGAAGGGGACACACACAAGGCACTTCCATGGAAGATTCTATCCTAAACAGGGCAAGGGGTTATATTACAAAGGAACAGGTGAGCATAGCTCCACCCATGGGGCTGTAGCAAGACACACCCATGCACCATCCCTCAAACCCAAGAAGGGTGGGGAAAGCTCTGCTACATTTCTGTGATTGAGTGCCTCAGCATCCAGCCAGGGAATGTGACTCAGTCACGTGCAAGGTTGGGCTCCCATAGTACTGTGTCCATCTATAACTAAAAGAATTTTTTTAAAAAAAAGAGTTCTGGGGCTGGAGTGGTGGCTCAGTGGTAGAGTGCACGCCTAGCATGCATGAGGCACTGGGTTCAATCCTCAGCACCACATAAAAACAAACTAATGTATCCACCTAAAACTAAAGATACATAAATAAATAAATATTTTTTTAAAAATAAAATAAAAATTAAAAAAAGAGTTCCATATGAAAGGGCATGCACATTTTAAATTTTTATACATACTGCCAAATAACTCTCCAGAAAAGTTGTACCAATTTACATTCCCATTAATAGTATATGTGTGTGCCAAATATTTTACATCCTTGCCAGCAATGAGTATTATTTAAACGCTTTGCCTTGCTTTTGAATTTGACAGGTAAAAATGGGACATCATGGTTGTTTTTACATATATTTATTATTAATACAATAAATATATTTTTATATGTTTAAAGTCAAAAGTAGTCCTTCCCCCACCCCTGGTGTTGGGGACTGAAACCAGGGCTTCAGGCATGTTAGGCAAGTGATCTACCATTAATAGTATATGAGATGTACTCCCAACCCAGTCTTTCTTTTAAAAATTCCCAGTTATGGGCCAGGATTGTGGCTCAGTGGTAGAGTGCTTGCTGAGCACGGGTGGTGCATTGTTATGCATCACATAACAATAAACAAAATAAAGGTATTGTGACCATCTACAACTAAAAAAAAAAAAAAATTTTTTTAATTCCCAGTTAGAGTCTTTTGTAAATGTTCATTGTTTATATTACTAATATAAAAGCATTTGGGGGCAGGGAATGTGGTTCAGTGGTAGTATGTTTGCCTTGCATGCATGGGGCACTGGGTTTGATACTCAGCACCACATAAATAAATAAAATAAAGGTATTGTGTCTTACAACTAAAAAAAAAAAATTTAAATAAAGGTATTATGTCCATCTACAACTAAAAAATATTTTTAAAAAAGAACATTTTTGGATTTTAGAAATAAAAGCCATTTGACATACATAGTGCAAATATATTCTCTTCCATTGTGTTACTTTTAACCTTGTTTCTTTTGTTTTTTTTGGCAGCAGCAAAGTTTTTAATTGGTTCAGATTTCATTTTGGCAAGCCAGATTTAACTAAACCTTACCCTCTTTCAATTGAAGGAAGACACCAATATAAAGGTTCAGTCCCAATTAATTTTAGAGTCAAACAACCATAAAATCACCACCATCACTACTAGTATTAGTCTAGAATTAGCTATCCTGATCCAATTAGGGGAAAGAAGATAAAGCTGGCACCTGCTAGTTACCTATACATTCAATTATCAAGTTTATTTCCCAAACTACACAGTTTCCCCAGGTTATATATCTAGGTATCTGGTTTGATTTTTTATATAATATTCACTTCCTCACTGAGATCCCATTTTGACTCTATATCCCAACCAATCTAGCTAATTATTCAACAGCCTACCCTGTAATCCTTTCTGGAAGCTAAACCACTCCCACAGCTTCACTTTACCTGAAAACTTACCTCAAAATAACCAAAACTATGAATATTAGACTGCCACCTAATGGCTCATTATTGTCATTACCTAGATACTTCTATTACCACGTTCTGCCTCTCTTTTGGATAGTAACCTCAATTTACTAAGTTACTTTGGCCATTATAATATATACTGTTAGTCAATTCATTTGAGGAATAGCTACCTCGGATTTATAAATAAAACAAATGTGATATATGATATATTGTTCTTTTTTTCACACTAGACATCTGTTCTCCCTTCTAGCTTCTTTTCCCCAACCATTCACAAGTGCCTACTATATGGTACAATACTGCCCGGTTATAACAAGCAGCATTAACAATGTCATAAAAAATAAGCACAATCAGGGCTGGGATTATGGTTTAGTGGTAGAGTGCTCGCCCCACATGTATGAAGCACTAGGATGGATCCTCAGTACCACATAAAAATAAATAAATAAAATACAAGGATTGTGTCCATCTACAACTAAAAAATTATTTTTAAAAAATAGGCACAATCGGGCTAGGGTGTGGCTCAGAGGTAGAGTGCTCACCTACCACGCAAGAGGCACTGGGTTCGATCCTCAGCACCACATAAAAATAAATAAATAAAATACAAGGATTGTGTCCATCTACAACTAAAAAATTATTTTTAAAAAATAGGCACAATCGGGCTAGGGTGTGGCTCAGAGGTAGAGTGCTCACCTACCACGCAAGAGGCACTGGGTTCGATCCTCAGCACCACATAAAAATAAAGATATTGCATCTACCTATAACTAAAAAATATTAAAAAAAAACTCAGCACAATCATTGGAATCTTAATTTCTGTGAATGTCACATACAGAAAATCATACTAGAACAGTTTAAAAGGATATCTGTTAATTATAAGACAACAAAACTCTATACATATGCACATACATATATATATCTTAATGTTATTCCATATTTCACAGAATAATTTGTCTATAATTCTTCAACTAACACACAAAGTATTTACTATGCCTTTCCTTAATACATCTGTATTAAATCAAGACATCTGATATTAATAATCATTAACTACAGTATTCATGCTGAGTTAAGATAAAATATTCATAACTAATTTTGTCATATTCCAGGATATTTATGTGCTAAAAAAAGAATTTTTTAATTAAAAATGCAGATCAATAGTTAGAAAAATACCTACATGCTGAACAAAGAATGTACTTAGCAAAGACCATATCCTTAATTGAAGAATATAGCACAAGCTCCTCTTAAGTTTCTTAAAACCTATAAATCTATATTTTATTAAAGTCAATTTTACAGAATATGAAAGTACTACTATACTGGACCAGGAAAAATATATAGAAAGGACATTTTTAGAATAACACAATGGTTTTCAACCAAAGGCAGTTTTGTCCCCCATAAAACATTTTTGGTTTTCACCTGGGGGGAAGGAGAAAGCCATAGTCTGCTGTTGGTATCCACTGCGAGGGATGATGCCTCATAATGCATATGACAGTCAGCCACACACTAAAAAAAACTATGGTCCATAATGACATAAGTTTCAAGGCTGACAAACTGAGAAAACTGATGTAATTCCAACATAAACTATACTATATCAGTTAAATTTCTGTAATCTAATAATTTTCCTATGGTTTCATAAAAGAACAATCTTGTTCTTAGGAAATACATATCCCAAATATTTTTTTTAAATATTTTTTAGTTGTTGATGTACCTTTATTTTTTATTTATTTATATGTGGTGATGAGGATCAAACCCAGGGCCTCAGATGTGCTGGGCGAGTGCTCTACCGCTGAGATACAACCCCAACCCCAACCCCACAAAATGGTTATTAAAACTTAAGATTTTCAGAAGTTTAACAATAATTCTGAATTCTCCAATTTCATCACTCGTATTCCTAAACACTTATTATTACTTAAGGTATGTAACAAATCTACACTAATAGCTTCATGAATTACAACAGTATAGTTTTGGAAAACAGTAATTAAAATTTTTTTTTAAATTTTAAATCCAAGAAAAAAACATAGGGTACTTACAGATGTCTGGGACATACTTGACTGTTGTGTGACACTTCCTGTGGGGGACGTAGATGGTCTTCCACTGGATAAACTTGCCTAAAATAATAAGACCATTATAATATGCCTGCAAAAACCTGAAGTTAAAACCTTTCTGCTACCAGCATAACACAAAAACAAAATAAGAACCAAAGGTCAATTTAATCTTTGGCCAAACAGATTTTTTTTTTTAAAGAAAAGAAAAATATGAACGGTGAAAACAGGCCCAAAAGCTAATCTGATTAGCTGTACTCATTGTCAGCTTCACTCTTCAGGTTTCTTGACATTTCTGAAGCTGAATCACCACTCTACCATTACAAAAAAGACATCTGAGCTACATCAAGAGCCAGTGGGTTTCRGTTTCCTAAGTCATATTATGAACATGATGTTACTTAAAATTACACTACTGAAAAGAAGTAACATCTGGTATCTGTCAATAACAGAAGTAAACTTTTTTCAGGTTCACTCAACTGAGATCCTTCTCTGATGAGGAGATTTAAGATTAAATCTCACACAGTTTTATTTAAGTTGTACAATATTAACAAAAAAATTTAAACATAGGTATTGAATCATAAAATTATGTTATTAATTGAAATAATATGATTAGATTTTAGGAAAGTGTATATATGCATTTTTATATAGAAGATTTTTGGATATATATTGAATTGTTACAACAATCACCTCTGAAAGTGGGACACAATGGCACATATGGAAAGAAACATTTCTATTTTATTTGCCTCTTAAAATTTTATACTGATTGATATTTTTAAAATAAATTATTTACATAATAAAACTTTACTTTTTCAAAAAATAGAAATATAATTCATGAAGCCCTAAGTATCCACTGTTGTACCTAGAACTTTTTGGATACAAAACCATACCACCATCCACTTTGGATAAAAAACAGAGACAAAAGCTGGCAACAATTATAAAACATATTCATTTTTCCTCCAATTAACTTCTATTTGGTAGTCTATTAACATCTCCTTTAGCACAAATAATCACAAGGCATATGAGAACTCTGAAATAATACCCAGGGTATTTATTTTCAGTAAGTATCTGAAGAAAATGTAAAGTTTGGCCTTAAAAATTGTTAATTTATTTCAGTCTCACCTGAACAGCAGCAAGGCTCTGGAGCTGGGAACTGCTTAAATGCTGCTGCTGAAGAGCTGCAGTGTGTAGCATCAAGTGCTGCTGTTGAGCTGCATACATTTGCTGAAGATACTGAGCAGCTGAGCTGGGGGGGCGATGCAATGCCTGTTGAATTACCTGTGATAAGTCAATTGAACCAATGTCAAATTATAATCTTAACCTTTATCTTTTTTTTTTCAGTGCTGGGGATCAAACCCAGGACCTTGCACACACACTATCACTCACCCATATCTCCAGTTCAACCTTTATCTTTTTATTATTATTATTATTATTTTGTAGTTATAGATGAACAGAATACCTTTATTTTATTTGTTTATTCTTATGTGGTGCTGAGAATCAAACCCAGTGCCCCATGTATGCTAGGCAAGCACTCTGCCACTGAACCACAGCCCCAGCCCAACCTTTATCTTAACTATAAAATGAAGTATAAAAATGGCAGTTTAAGGGCTGGAGATGTGGCTCAGCGGTAGCGCGCTCGCCTGGCATGCGTGCGGCCCGGGTTCGATCCTCAGCACCACATACCAACAAAGATGTTGTGTCCGCCGAGAACTAAAAAATAAATATTAAAAATTCTCTCTCTCTCTCTCTCTCTCTCTCTCTCTCTCTCTCTCTCTCTCCTCTCTCACTCTCTCAAAAAAAAAAAAAATGGCAGTTTAAAATTTTACTACTTTAAGATTCAATGTCCTCAAGTTTATTAACATATTTCTCTCCCAGTTACATATTGCTAGGATTCACTAATTATACAAATTAAATTACCCAGTAGAGATAAATCCATAAAAGAACCATACAAGGACTGAGGTTGTAATTCAGTGGTTGAGTGTTTCTCTAGCATGTGTGAGGCACTGGGTTCAAATTCTCAGCACCACGTGTAAACAAATAAAATAAAGGTCCATCAACAACTTAAAAATATTTTTTTAAAAAGGACCATATAAGGGCTGGGGATGTGGCTCAAGCGGTAGCGCGCTCGCCTGGCATGCGTGCAGCCCGGGTTCGATCCTCAGCACCACATACAAAGATGTTGTGTCCACCGAAAACTAAAAAATAAACATTAAAATTCTTTCTCTCCTCTCTCTCTTTAAAAAAAAAAAAAAAAAAAAAAAAAAAGGACCATATAAGTATTTGAAGAAATCTTTAATATCACTGTTATCAAAAATTTACAAATTAAAACATGATACTATTTTCTGACTGTCAGATGGATAAAGATTTAAAATACTTTTACTTGAGAAAATAAATCTTCCCACACTGTGAGAATTTAAGTTGGTATAGTTTTTTTGGATAAAAGTTGGAAGAATTCAGGGCTTAGGTATGAAGAGGAATATTTTGCTATGGAGCCATTACAAACAGTAGTATGGCTCTAAACTGTTTAATAGAGTAGCTAGTGTGTAGAGTAGAGTAGCTACCTGTGTCTACTGAACATGAAAATATGACTAATGCAACTAAGGAATTGGGTTTTTAACTTTAACTGAACTTTGATTTTAATGTAAATAGGTATACAGATAGCTAATGGCTACCATATTTTACAGTGCAGATACAGACTTGTATTTATTAATAAGAACATTCTCAAATATATTAGCAGGTGAAGAAAGTTTAGAATAAGATGTCATTTTTATACCAAATTAACTGAGTAATCATTTTTATATCAAAATAACTCAGTAATCTGAGTATTCTTTGAGGATTAAATGAAGCATCTAGAACCCTGTGGAATATATTATAGGTACTCAATATACACTAGTAGCTAGTATCTCTTTAACAATTGCCAAGCATCTGATAAATGCTTCATGTGGATTATCTTAATTCTTTATAGATGTAGTGAGAAAGTAGACATAATTATTACCTCCATTTTACAAATGGGAAAACCAGTGTTTTAAGTAGGCTAAATAATTTCCCAAACTTCATACAGCTAGTAGCTTCTCTGACTTCAAAGTCTACACCCTTTATACCCTGTGAGTTCTTATGTTTTTCTATTATACCTGCTTGCTTCCTCTATCTCATAATTGTATTTTTCTTATAATTGCATTTGATTTTTTTTTTATCCTGAGGCTCAAGGAGATTGTAGATGAGTAGAATATTCAGTAGATGAGTAGGAATACTCTAAAAGATTTCTCTAAGTCAATATTTTGGCTTCAAATACAAAATTTGAACCTAAAGTCATTCTGCACGTTAGGGGTCTGGGAAAACATAAAAGAGTACTGTAGATGGACAGCTAATTAGAGGTAATTTTTAATCTTCTGGTTTGAACTTTTCTTTAAGTGTCTAAAAATCCTACAAAAATTGTCAAAACTATTTCTTTTTCTGAAAATTACTCAATAATTATTTTTTAATGTTTTTAAATGTCAGAGTTCTTAATTTTCCACATAGATTACAATTATTCGTATTGGGGCTGAGGTTTTGGCTCAGTGGTAGAGCGTACACCTAGCACATGAGAGGACCTGGGTTCAATTTCAATCCTCAGCACCAAATAAAGATAAATAAATAAAATAATGGTATTGTATCCAACTACAACTAAAAAATAAATATTTAAAAAAATATATTAGTATTAAAAAGACTCCTAAAAAGTGTTTGTGAATATTAATAAAATATAAAATCTAATCATGAAATTTCACAAATAGATAAATGTGGTAAAGTCGAGTATTCTATTAAGACCAGAGAAAAATCTTGCATCTCTTCAAAAGATAAGTCCATCCTCTGCAGCCACATCCCAAGGTCATATCATGCCCAAGTAACCAAAACAGCACAGAACCCCAATCTTAGTATCAAACCAGAGTTTCCAAAGTGCTAAGGAAGTAACAGAGCCATAATCCTATAGCTTCATAATCTAAATTTTGGACACCTATAACCATAAAACCATGAACCCAAATTTCAAGAAAGAACGTTTCCATGAATTATTGTTTACTTCAGGCATGCATATGTCATCTCTCCAATGGCAAATTGCATACGTGCTAAAAACTCCTGTCACAAAAATCAATGTAAGCTTTTGATTCCTGGTTATAGAGGACTACAGACCAGCATTAAGTAATTCAGAATTACATTAATTTATCTTTTCTTGTCAGACAAATCTATATATCTTCTTTTAATTCTGTAATAAAATTCTAAAAATCAAACTGAAAAAACAAATAAACACTCTATTTGACATAATTTTATCAGAGTGCAGTAATTTTCTGTAGTTGGTAATCTTTTATTACCATTCAACACTATACTCCTGGCATTGCATAAATACAAGTTACAGGTACAGAACATTGTTCTTATTTTATTTCTCTACAGGAATTAATAAGTTAAAGAGAATTCACAGGACTAAGGGAAAAGAAAAACTGGTAGAATAAAGAACTACTTAGATAGCTCAATAAATATTGATTTGATTGCTCTTTAGGACAGCAATTCCATAATCTTTGTAACAACTAGAGTTAGAGATATTTGTGAGGTATATCTACATCTACACATCTCCAATAATACTTTATTTTTATTAATACATCCACCTTAAGGGAAAACTAGAAAATGAAATGTCATATTAAAATATCCCATTATGGGGCTGGGGTTGTGGCTCAGAGGTAGAGCACTCACCTTGCACATGTGAGACCCTGGGTTCAATCCTCAGCACCACATAAAAATATATAAATAAAATAAAGGTATTGTGTCCAACTACAATTAAAAATAAATATTAAAAATATATATATATCCCATTATCACCAGCTGCACATGATGGCATATGCCTATAATTCCAGCAGCTCAGGCTTCTGAGGCAGGAGGATCACAAGTTCAAAGCCAGACTCAGCAAAAAGTGAAGCACTAAGGAATTCAGTGAGACCATGTCTCTAAATAAAATACAAAATAGGGCTGGGGATGTGGCTCAGGGGTCAAGTACCCCTGAGTTCACCCTCACAAAAAAAAAAAAAAAAAACATTATCTCAAAGATCTAGATACTCTCCCCCATATCCCTTGCCTCAGAAAAAAGTGAAGAACATTAAATGCATACTCTCCATTCCAGTTTGAATTCTGCTGAGCTGCCTGGGTCCCCAACAGTTCTGATTCCACTCTACAGTGACTTCAGAAAACTAAATCCTAAACCACAGAACAGTTTAATAGTTATTACACTAGAGAAAAATGGAGCAGAGAGAAGATTATACCACAAACAGTTAAGAATACAATTAGAGAGGCTGGGGATATAGCTCAGTGATACAGTATTTGCCTAGCATTACCAAGGCCCCTCCTTTACTGAAAAAAAAAAAATGGAATTAGGAGGTAGAGGAAGCAAGAAGGTATAACAGAAAAACACAAGAACTCACAGGGTATAAAGGGTGCAGACTTTGAAATCAGAGAACCTAGAATTTCGGGAAATTATTTAGCCTACGTAAAATACTGGTTTTCCCATATGTCCACTTTATAGAGGTGTGGTGAAAATTAAACATGATAATCCACATGAAGTATTTATCAGATGCTTAGCACATAGCAACTGTTCAATAGATACTAGTACTAGTATTTATTAAGTACCTATAATATATTCCACAGAGTTCTAGAGGCTTCATTTAATCCTCAAAGAAACTAATGAAAAAGGTAGTCTTGCCCTCATTTTAGTCTCCTGAGGCTCAAGGAGATTGTGCCTCCCACCCAAAGCCACATAGATACTGATGAAAACAAAAATGGGATTCAAACAGCATATCAGAATGCAATGCCCATGTAGTGTACAATACCACATTATCTCCATTATTATTAAAAGTTAATAAGTGACCTAGCCCAAGACTCTTCTTAAATATTTCCTTTCCCATTTGCCCCAGGAACTATAGAAGGCATCTTCCTACTAGGGTTCTTAGGCCACATGGGTTTAAAATAAACCTCTTAACGCAACTACAGACTTGAAAAGAATTCCCCAAGTCTATATTTTGGATTCAAATACAAAATTTGAACCTAGAGTCATTCTGCATGTTAGGGGTCTAGGCTGAGTACCTTTCCTTTATAGCAACATCAAGAGACTTCCAATTATAATTTTCCTGACACATAAATGTTAACAAACTATTTAACAGTATAATTATTAAATAACTGCTGGTTGTTTCAAACATTAACAATTTTTCTTTTTTTTTAAGCAGTGCCAGGGATGGAACCCAGGGCCCTGTACCTGCTAGGCAAGTGCTCTACCACTGAGTTACACCCCCAGCCCAGATCTTAACAATTATAACTGTACATTTCAGGATCTGAATCAATACGTTGATCTGGTTTAAACAAAAAGCAATATGATACTCCAAGTCTAATTTTACCCATCATTATAGCTGAAATACCTGTACAGCATGTCGGTCTGAACCGCTGTAGACAGAAATCTGTGGTTGCTGCATTCGAGAAGAGGAAGTGGTGATGGTGGTGGTTGTTGTGCTACTGGTTGTTGTCGACACAGAAGATGCTCCAGGGTTTGGTTCATTATCCATTGTTGTACTGTGGTCTTTAAATCTGGCAGATAACACAAAGGATTTATATTGATAAAAAGAATAATCTTATGAGCTTTAAAGAATATTCATTCCAGCTGGGCACAGTGGCCAGTGGTTTGGGAGGCTGAGGCAGGAGGATCACAACTTCAAAGCCAGTCTCAGCAACTTAGCAAGGCCCTAAGCAACTTCAAAAGCTGAGGGTATGGCTCAGTACTTAAACACCCCTAGTACCAAAAAAAAAAAAAAAAAAAAAATTCATTTCAATAAATAATCTGCAAGCTGGGCTTAGGAGGCTGAGGCAGGAGTACTGTAAGTTCAAAGGCAGCCTTAGAAACTTAGCAAGAACCCATCTCTCAATAAAACATTAAAAAAAAAAAAAAAAAAAGGACTGGGGATGTGGTTCAGTGGTTAAGCACCCCTGGGCTCAATCCCTGGTACCAGGAGAAAAAAAAGAAAAAGAAAATAATCAGCAAGAGTCTAAGCCTCTATAAAGAAACAAAATACAGCTAGCACAAAAAAAACACTTAGAAGGGAAAAATACTTTACATATACATAGGATATTTAATAGTTAAAATCTATCTATGTTGAATTTAAGTGAGCCAAGATATGTAACTGACAAAACCTGGTCTAAAGTTTATCTTTGCAATATTGAAAGGAGGGATTTAAAATCAAAATAGGTGGTAAGAGAATACCACACTAATTAGAAAAATAAAAATTTAAGCAATATCGGAGTACTTTAAAACAATTCTTTGCATTCATTTGATAACAACAAATTACAGTCACTCATATTTATACATTTTAAAAGAATGTGACTTCTGTTGAGTAGCTTAGTTTTGGTTGCTATATACACTTTACTTAAAAAACAAGTTATCTTAAAAAAGTTAACAAAAAAAGTTTAATTCATACCAGGTTTTCTCTAATTGCTCTACAACACTGTCCTTCTTTTATTTTATTTAATTTTTGTTTAAGTTGTAGGACACAATATATTTATTTATTTTATTTATTTATTTATATGTGGTGCTGAGAATCCAACCCAGTGCCTCACATGGGCTAGGCAAGTGCTCCTCCACTGAGCTGCAGTCCAGCCCTGTCCTTACTATTTCTAATAATCGAGTTTGACTTAAGAACAGATTACTCTACGGAAATAAGGGTAGCAGTTAACAGCAACTTCCCACATCCTTATAGAAATCTTTTTCAAGATGAATTGCTCTAAATTTTAAAAACAGCATAACTATGTAATTTTCCTCAAAAACAGTTTCCTTGTGTATAGACAGTAAAGTACATTTTTGTACCAAATTTTCTATTTCTTCCAATATTAAAATTCCACTTATATTGTGATACAAAATTTCTCCCAACACAGAATCCATTCAACACTAAAAAATCAATTCTAAGGGCTTCAATATTGTTAGAAGCTAGAACTACTGTAATTTTTATAGGGTCATAATGCACATAATAATGAAAAATACACTTGAAATTATACTGGTTTTATCTTCCTTCTTTTATCTGCCTTTCCTTATTAGTCATTTCTTCCGGAGAAACACAACCTGTGTGACAAGAATGTAACAAAAACTCTTCTACTTCACAAAAAGCAAAAGGAATTTGGCACTAATTGGGTACTCATATACTATCCTGATAGGACTTCCTTTATGTACAAATTTCCTTTTTTTCTATATCACTATGTAAACAGTATTTGGCTCTGAGGAACCAATCTCCTTTTAAGAGAAAAAGTGAGGGACTGGGATTGTGGCTCAGAGGTGGAGCAGTCGCCTAGCATGAATGGTTCGATCCTCAGCACCATATAAAGTAAAATAAAGACATTGTGTTCACCTATACCTAGAAAATAAATATTTTTAAAAAGAGAGAAAAAGTAAAAGAATAAAGGAAGTAGCTGATTCCTCAGTTACTCTTTTTTATTAGAAAATGATGATTGGAGACACTGAGGCAGGAGGATAATAAGTTCAAGGCCAGCCTCAGCAACTCAGCCAGATCCTGTCTCAAAACAAAAAATGAAAAGGGAGGGGACAGAATTGTGGCTCAGCGGTAGAGGGCTCGCCTAGTACTCTGCCTAGCATGTGCAAGGCCCTGGGTTCGATCCTCAGCGCCACATAAAAATAAATAAATAAAATAAAGGTATTATGTCCAACTACAACTAAAAAAAATTTTTTTAATTTTAAAAATGAAAAGGGATAGGTATGTAACTTAATGTAAAGCACCTCTGGGTTCAATCCGCAGTACCAAAAAGAAAAAAAGGAAGTGAATCATGTTTTTACACTTCTTTGCTATTTTTCAAATTGCCTTCCAATTATCAAATCACAGTATCATATGGTTCAATATTATACAGAATCAGTAGTAGACAAGGAAAACTTTTTACCAAATTACTGCCTATCATAACACGTGTGTGCCATGCACCAAGTGATATGCAAAATGCCAGCAATGTCTGGTACTTTTAAAGTTGTTCTGCTCAACCATATCCTCAAACCCAGGCACAGTTCTAACTACTAACCGAAAATGGTCACAGAGAATACAAATTCTAGGCATCAAGTCTAATACAAATTCTAGGCATCGGTGAGGGCAACAGGCCAAACCATGGTATTGCATTTCGAGGCCTGGCACAAAAGAACAGTTTTGGTAACTCCACCGTCTGTGCATATAAATACCTGCAAAATACACTGCAGTTCTGGTATACAAGAGGCCTACCCGAGAAATATTTAAGTTTTAGAGTCGCTACCTAAGCATACCATCACACTGCCACACAAGAATGTGGCCCTCTAGGGAGACAGCAACCCTGCAGCCAGAGACCCGAGGGAAAGGTCTTTCCTTCGGGGTGTTTTCAGTCTCAACAGAGAGCAGCAACCTCCGCCGCCCTCAGGCCCGCGCCAAGACACTTAGCCCTCGCCCTACCCCACCGCGGGAGGGCAGTGGGCAGCTGGGTCTCTCGTTCTCCAGCTGAGAGCGGGGAGGCGCCGGAGCGGAAGGATGGTAGCACGAAGGAGGCCTGGCAGTGCCCGCCCTGCCCTACCCAGCCTCCGCGGGCCCCTGGCGTACGAGGCCCGCAGGGCCCACTTGAAGGGATGACAGCACCTGAGGGGCCCACAGGAATCTGTTTCCTGGAGAACCCTAGAGGACAGAGCCTCAGGGGTGACCGTGCGCTCAGGGCTCGGCCGACCCGGTCCAGACAGCAGAAGCGGCGCTCCCGCCTGCAGGGCAACTGGACCCTTCAGTTCACCTCCGCCCCCCGACTAGGGCCAAGCAGGCACCAGCAGAATAATGTAGTTCTCAGGTTTCCCTTCCATGCACTGCTAGCGAAAGAGCCCTGAGCTCTTCTACTGAGGAACGTGTCGCTGCCCCCACTCGCCCCCGGTTACGACATCAGTCACCAGCAAGTCACTCACTCCGCTTCCGCCATCTTCTCTCCTCCATCACTAGCACGGGCTGCGCATGCGCCCCCCAGCGGCGGACAGAGAGGCGGGGTCGGCCCCTAGGGTCACGTGGGGTCCTCAGCTGCTAATACCCCGCCCACGTCAGCTCCTGCTGTCTCTGAAGTGACCAGGTTTCTCCACCTTATTTTCCACTATCTCATTTGCAAGCTTTTACTTTCTCTTGCCCGGGATCTTCCTCTTAGAAAGGTATAAGTTCTGCGTAGACTGTTAAGTTAAATATTTGAAGAATATCTGCACAAATACGCAAAGAGGGTCTCGAAAGAAAATACCCACGAAGATGCTGAGGTCTCAGAGAGAAAGGAAATTCGGTGCTGCTACCATGGGGCTTGTTGGCCTGGGACACGCTTGAGTTTGGTGGTCCTACCCAGCGGTCACTCTACCGGGTTCAAAGGTGATGTTTAGATGCTGGTGAGTGGGTGGTTAAGAAATAAATTCTTCCACGAGAGTTTAAGTGAGCGCTTAGTGAGCGCTTGAGTGCAGACTTGAATAGCATGGGACACAAACAAGAAAGGCTGCTAGCTTGCTAGTACATTTTACTATATGCCAACTCCTCTGAGGCGGGGTGAGACAAACATATAAAGATGAGTAAAATATTAACTATAACTATAAAATAGTAAAGACGTGTTCCTGGAAATAAGTCAATCTGGAGAGTGAGTGGTTTTTATAGACATTAGTGCTTTGGAACAGACCCATCAATCTCTTTGGAAACCTTAAATTCAAAGAACAAAAAAAAAAATCTTTACTACTCTTTGTAGAAAAAAGAATATGGATCATAAACAATAGATTTTTTGTTTTTGTTTGTTTTGCTGTATTGAACCCAGAGACTCACCATCACTAAGCTAAATCCCCAGTCCTTTTTTTTAAGAGAGAGAATTTTAATATTTACTATTATTTTTGTTTTAAGTTTTCCGTGGACACAACATCTTTGTTTGTATGTGGTGCTGAGGATGGAACCCTGGCCGCGCATGCCAGGTGAGCGCACTACCCCTTGAGCCACATCCCCAGGCCTTTTTTGTTGTTGTTTTTGAGACCCACCTCCCAAAGCTGCCCAGGCTGGCCTGGAACTTGCATCCTCCTGAGTCAGCCTCTAGAGTAGCTAGAAAATATAGGTCTATGCAACCGTGCCTGGCAAGGATGTCTCTTGTATTGGTAGGACAGCAGAGTCATGCTGATTTCAAGAACTAAGAATGAGGTATTGGTGTAAATTCATCTTAAAAGTGTAATGTGCTCCAATGAAAAGTATACTTATCCTTAGAAATCCTGTGTTCTGGGATGTGCTTAAGGAAGGGAAAAAAATACTTATGTGAACTTAAGCTGTCCCTTTTCTTATTTGATAACATCATTTGTTTTGTTTTGTTTTTTTATCTTCTTCCTGACTAATAGCAGTTCACTTCCTACTAGAACTCACTGAGAAAGATACTTTGAAAAGCCCCTTAGATGCTTAAAATTATTAATACTTTTTCCTTCTGATTTGATATGATGTCATTGTCATTCATCTCTCTAGAATCAACTGTCTATTAATATTTATTGCTGAAATTATTGTTTAGAAAAACAGAAGTGCAAGAAAGCACCATCTTAGACCTAAGACTAATACACAACCCAAGGGTATTTGAATAGGCCAGAATTCTTTTTCATCCCCCTTTCCTTTGGATACTGAAAGCCTATATACTTTTGTGGCCTCATGCAGATTGGCTTTCAAAATGAGAAAATACATTAGGTAAAATTAGATCATTATTGATTTTTAGAACCATTTAAAGACTCTGTTTATTACAACAACTAACATTTGTATAGCTTCTTACTCACTGCAAAAGACTTCCACCTAACTCATTTGTTGATCTTCACAACAACTCTGTAATATAATTATCATCATTCTCATTTAGCACTGAAGTCACATTAATTTCAAGTGAGGCTCAAGGTAATTAGGTACCTTTCCTGACTGCTAACATATACCAGAAATGGTGTCCTTAGCTTAAATAGCTCTCCATCTACAAAGCCAAATTTCCTTCACTACATTATTCAGCAAGCCACTATGAAACAGAGGAGAACAAGTGTGATGGACAACTTTCAAGAAACTTAACTATGACTTATCTGATCAAACAAGAGGAAAGTATTCAACCTCTTTGTTTCCTTTCTTAAGGAAAATGTGGATGTGGCATGATGACAGGTTGAATTTCCAAAAGATCATATGAATTGTTACTTTGGAGTAATAGTACCTTGGAGAAGAGCTAGGATCCTAAAAGATTTTAGGAAAATCTCTTTAGCTTTGTGCAGGATGGATTGGAAAGAAAGTAAAATAGGAGACAGGGAGACTAGTTGAGAAACTGCATTAACTCTTAAAGAAATGATAAGGGCAACAGGAATGGAAAGGAGGGCTGAGTTAAAATTTAGTCCCAAATCAGACACAGTGGTATGCCCCTGTAGTCCCAGCTACTGGGAAGGCTGAGGGAGGAAGATAAATTAAGCCCAGAAGTTCAAGAACAGGGCTGGGATTATGGCTCAGTGGTAGAGTGCTTGCCTGATATGTATGAGGTACTGGGTTCGATTCTCAGTACCATGTATAAGTAAATGAATAAAATAAAGGTCTATCAACAACTAAAAAATATTTAAAAAAAAAAAAAGAAGTTCAAGAACAGCTTGGGTAACATAGTTAGACCCTGTCTTAAAAAAATTATAACAAAATTTTAGTTCCTTGGTCACACTGGTCATATTTTGAGTGCTCAATATCTGCATGTAGTTAGCCGCTACTGTATAGGACAATGCAGATTAAAACATTTCCATCATCCCAGAAAGTGTTATTGAACAGCACTAGTCTTGACATTAGATCAGAGGTTGGCATACTGCAGCCCAAAGGCTAAATCCAGCCTGCAACCTGTTTTTGAACAACCATCAAGGTAAAAATGCCTTTTATATTTTCTGGTAATTGAGGGAAAAATCAAAAGAAGAATAATATTGTGTGATAAAACTGTGAAAATTACATGAAATTCAAATTCCGCTATCCATAAGTAAAATCCTTTTGGAATATAGCCCTGCTTGTTCCTTTATGTATTGTCTATGACTGATGGGCTGCAAAGGCAGAGTTGAGTCTCGCTGTGACAGACACTAACAACCCACAGAGCCAATAAACATACTGTACTATCCGGTCCTTTATGGAAAATTTCCTGACCCCTATTCTAGATCACTGTTCACCCTTTCAGAGTAGTTAATATAGGACGTGCCCTGTCCTGGGCCCCACTGTGCTGTGGACTCCTTGCAATCCTGTCAGTTCCACCTCATTTCTGGCCACAAGACCATGATACACCACCAAAATACAAATCAGATTTGTCATTTCTTACTACCTCCACTGTCATCAATATAGATCAGGCCACCTTTCTCTCTCCTAAACTACAGCAATATACTCCTGACAGATCACCCTGCCTTCATTCTTAGTTCCCTACAGTCTGTTGTCCATGCAGCAACCTATAGAGAAAATATAAATCACACTTGTCACTGTTCTGCTAAAATCCTGCATTGTCGATCTATACCCAAAGGACTTAAAAACAGCATACTACAGGAACACAGCCACATCAATGTTTATAGCAGCACAATTCACAATAGCTAAACTGTGGAACCAACCTAGATGTCCTTCAATAGTTGAGTGGATTAAAAAATGTGGCATATAGGGGGCTGGAGATGTGGCTCAGCGGTAGCGCGCTCGCCTGGCATGCGTGCGACCCGGGTTCGATCCTCAGCACCACATACCAACAAAGATGTTGTGTCCGCCGAGAACTAAAAAATAAATGTTAAAAATTCTCTCTCTCTCTCTCTCTCTCTCTCTCTCTCTCTCTCTCTCTCTCTCTCTCTCTCTCTCTCTCTCTCTCCTCTCTCACTCTCTCTTTAAAAAAAAATAAAAAATAAAAAATGTGGCATATATACACAATGGAATATTACTCAGCAATAAAAGAGAATAAAATCATGGCATTTGCAGGTAAATGGATGSAGTTRGAGAAGATAATGCTAAGTGAAGTTAGCCAATCCCAAAAAACCAAATGCCGAATGTTTTCTTTGATATAAGGAGGCTGATTCATAGTGGGATAGGGAGCAGGCGTATGGAAGGAATAGACGAACTCTAGGTAGGACAGAGGGGTTGGAGGGGAAAGGAGTGGGCATGGGGTAATTAATGATGGTGGAATGTGATGATCATTACTATCCAAAGTACATGTATGAAGACACGAACTGGTGTGAATATACTATGTATACAACCAGAGATACGAAAAAATATGCTCCATATATGTAATAAGAATTGTAATGCACTCTGCTATCATATATAAATTTTAAAAATTTACATAAAAAAAAGAAAAGAGTAAATAAAAACATTTTTAAAAATCCTGCATTGTCTTTCCATCACTCTTAAGTGAAGCCCTGATTTCTCACCATGAGCCTATGAGGCCCTGTGTGAGTTTCCTGGCTCCTTCTACTCCAGCCACCCTGGCCTCCTTTTTCTCGTTAGCTCTTGTTCTATAATGGCTTTCACATTGGTCTCATCTCTTTACTTCATAAAAACTTTTGTTCAGCCATCTCAGAGAGTACTCCTTTACCACCGACCTAACATGGTCCTCTTGTCACTTTCCTTCCATATCCCATAATTTTTTCTTTATAGCACACTGATTCAACAGATATGATATTATACACATATTTGTTTATTTATTTACTCTTCTCACCAACCTCCAGGTTGTAAGCACCATGTTTTGGTCACTGCTGTATTCCTGCTTCTTAAAACACTAAGTACTCAATAAATATGTATTGAATAAATGATGTTACTTCTTTAAAGGCCACATTATTTATGATTCTGTTTATATTAAATGCCCAGAATAGGCAAATCTATAGAGAATGGGGAGTGACAAAATTAGTGTGGGATGTTTTGGTGGGTGACAAATATATGCTGAAATTCAGTAGCGATGAGGGTTGCACAATAATGTGAATATAGTAAAAATATACTTTAAATAGA